TGCCCAGCAGGATGTATGTCTGAGATCCCTAGCACGGGGGTCCATCTGCCCCCCTCCACCAAAGGCTGGCTGGTCCCATCCCCAAATGCTTCTCCTCTGCCCAGCCCAGCCTGGGAATGTGACTCAGCATCTGCCCCGTGATCCTCAGCCACTTGTAGATCATCTGTTGCAAGTGTCGGCTCCCCAAAATACCCTGCTGGAAGCTGTGGGTCGTGCAGTGTTGCTTGTTCCCTCAAAGTGGGGCGAGCTCTCCCTTGGATTTGGGTTTCCAGGCTGGAGCGTTCAGCTGGAAGGCTCTCCTGAACCTCAGGAGGTGGTGAAGCTGTGGTGGCAAGGTGTGAGTGGGGTCAGCCACGTCCTTTGCCTCCCGTGGTGGTGTGTGAATGCAGACCCACAAGTTGTGTGTGTGTGTGTGGGGGTGTCTGGTGGCACCGGAGGGGTCGGGACTGTTGTTGCAGGTGGATTACGGGGGCACGGCCGAAGAGCTGGAGTCTCACTTCAACAACTGCGGGCGGATCAACCGGGTGACCATCCTCTGCGACAAGTTCTCGGGGCATCCCAAAGGGTCAGTGCTGTGCCACGGGGGCTGGGGTTGGGGTCCTGAGGGTGCTGACCCTGTGCTCCCCAGCCTTTGGGAGCAGCGGGGGCGTCCCTGGGGCTCTGCTCACCCCGTCCCCTTTGCAGGTACGCCTACATCGAGTTCGAGGAGAAGAGCTCTGTGAAGGCTGCGGTGGAGCTGGACGAGAGCGTGTTCAGAGGCCGCGTCATTAAGGCAGGAGCTGGATGAGACCCCTGGGGTGCTGCATCCATCCCTCCTGGCCCCGCGCCCGCGGGGGGGTTGTGCCAAACTCCGGTACCAGCAGCGCCGGCTGAGCCACCCTTTGCCTTCCAGGTGCTGCCCAAGAGGACCAACATGCCGGGCATCAGCACCACCGACCGTGGGGGCTACCGGGGCCGCTTCCAAGCCCGGGGAGGGCTGGCCCAGCGCGGAGGCTACTACGGAGGGCAGCCCCCAAGGGTGCGAGGGAGGACGTACAGGTGAGCGGGCAGGCGAGGGGGTTTCCTTGGGTGTTTGGGTCAAGAGCCCTGTGGAGCGGAGTGTCCCCGGGATGGGGATCGCTGCCCCTCGCTCAGCTTCTCCACTTTGCACCTCCCAGCCTGGCGTGGAGGGGAGGATGGAGAAGGGCTCCAGCAGGAGTAACCTCCTGAAGACCTGTGCTACTGCCCGTCGCATGCTGTTAGCCTCACCCCGGTGTCTGGGGGGTTGGCAGGAGCCTGGTGGCTGGTCTGGCTGGGACCCGGGCACCTCGGGGCAGGGGGGGGACACACACAATGAGGTGCCAGGAGTGGAAAGGACCGAAGTGAGCAGCCAGCAGAGCCATCCCCGCTGCTGTCCCGGCATCCCTCACGTCCCCAGCGCAGGCCTGGAGCTATTCTCCAGCGCACCTCCCGCTGCTCGTGCCTCTGTGAGCTCGCTGCGGATTAGCTTCAACGCTGCCCCTGCGGCGCTGCGGGAGGAAGAGGAGGAGAGCTTCGGGGGTGGAAGAAAACACCTGGAAACCTGCTGCTGTCCCCCTGTCCCTGCAGGGATTTTGGGGGTGGTGGGCGGGTGTCACACTCCCAGCCTGACTGGTCCCAGAGCTGCGCCTGGCTTTGGGGCTCCCCTGTGTTTCGGGGGTGCAGTGTAGGTTAGGTGGGGCAGAAGGGTGAATCCCAGCTCTAGGAGGGGCGGAGGAGCAGGCAGCTGGGTTTTGGCACAGCGGATGTCTCAGCTGAGCAGCGCCCAAGTGCTCTAAGATGCTGGTTTTGTTCTCGTTTAGGGGTCGGGCAAGGCTGCTGCCTTGGTATTTTCCGTACTAGAAAGGACTGGACTGCCTCGGTGATGCCGACGGGACTGAAATGAGGAGATGGGATTGGAGAGATTAAAAAAATATGCCGACCCAAGCCAAAAAAAAAAAAAAAAAGATTAATTTTAAAAATGCCATCTGCCTGGCCACGAGGATTACTGGTGAGGCAGCTGCGTGCTGGGCTGCGGGAGGGAGGACTGGATCCGCTCCACCCCGCACGTCGGCCGGATTCCTGCCAGCATCCCAGGAGGGGCTCACCTTCGCTTCGCGTAGGGGGTTGTGTTTTCATCGGGAACAGGCTCATTCCGGAGAACACCGTGTCCTGGGAAGGGAAGAGCTTTCCCAGGCCATCGGGCTCATCCTCATCCCATGGAAAAGGGCTGTCCTGGAGGGTTTGGGTTGTCCAAATGCCCTCCACGCCACCGCGAGGGCGGACCTGAAGCTCCCTCAGCTTTGCCAGACTTTCCTACAAGAGCTGGATGCTGCTTTCTCTCGCCCGTAAGAAGATACTAAAGACCTTTCCAAAGACTGTTTTCTTCTTTGAATCAGTGGAGGAAAAGTCCTGGGTGGCAGCTCGAGATCTGGCTGCTGGGGAGCTTTTCCTTCATCAGCCTTGTGGATTTCTGACCTTGCTCTTGGGGAGAGGATGGAGCCTAACGATGGGGTTTGGGTCTGGTTTTTAGCTCGCCGCTGTTGCTGTACACCTAAGGGAGGGGGGGGAAAAGCATCCCTTGCTGTTTCTCTGTAAGCCTCTGTATCTCTGTGGTGGTTAAACAAGACCTGGGTGTCACAAAACCCTTCTCCCCCTTTTAGTTCAGAAGTCAACCACCTCCTCGTGCCCCCTCCTGCTTTGATTCCAAAGCTACAGCAATCAAAGGTGCTGCTAACGCATCATTTTACTTTATTTCTAGCAGTAGCAGCGTTACAAAATCACCTCCACTGCTGCAAATTTGGTCTGATCCTCCTCTTTACTCCCGCCACCGTTCCTGCTCCAGATCTCCGTTTGGGGACGGCGTGAGTCCGGCTGAACCAAAGGGTCAGGACCGAAGTGCACCACAGGAGCTGCAGGAGGAGGGGGGGGGGAACAAGCGCTGCCGGGCACTTCCCCTTGCTGCTGATCTCGTGTTTGAGTTCTGAAACGGCTCATTTTTAAAGGGAAGAACCTTTGTGTCGAGAGAGGCGGGCTGGGAACACCAGCAGACAGTGGTAGTGTGGGAAGTTCTGCACTGGAAATCAGTTTTATTACGTAATCCTCGCGCTAATCTTCCGGGATCCTTGGTTAGGATTCCTCTAACCCAGATGCAACAGATGCGACTGACTCCTAAAGCAGCTTTTCACAGCTCAGGGGGCATTGCCAGGCTAAAAATCCCACTGATTTTTTTTCCCCCCCCTTAAGATATCAAGATTTTTTTAAAGCTTGGTGCCTTAACTCTTCATGTTGTGTTGATTTTGCACTTTGCCCAGTGTGGACTGTGCTGGGACTGGCCTTGGTCCCACCTACCCTTAAGCTTGGACTATAAAACTGCCTTTTTCTAGGGCTTTAACCTTTCCGTTTAGTCGTTTCGTACATTTTTGTGGCTTAATTTTTAACAAAGGCTATTTCTGAGGTGTTTGGACTGTCTTGTGGGAGAGGAAATGCTGAGTGCCTGTCTCGGAGTGAAAAAGAGTGAAGGCTTTTATACAAAAATATTTTGGAATAGCAGCGTACAGCTGTGCCTTGTTGAGATGGTGGGAGAGGCTGGAAAACTTTCATCTCCCGTTATTTGACAGGTGGTTTTTGCTTCAAATGTATTTCAGTTCTGTTTGAGAAGGTATTGTAAGTGTCCCTTATTTTTAAAATAAATGATCCTGCTGTGTGAACTCCACCTGCAGCGAGACCGTGCTGGCTGCCAGCTGACACCCTGCGCCGACCTGGCTTTCACCAGGCTGCTTGTATCCTTTGGAGCTGTGTGTGAGGGGTTCTTGGGGGTTTTTTTTTGTATTTTTAGCTAGGGTTTCTGCATTTTTTAACTGATTAGGTGCTTGAAGGGCAGCCTGCTGTGTGTGGGGCAGGGAAGACTTGGAGTAGAGGAGTGTGAAAAGCACCGAGTAGCTGCTCAGCGCCTGCCTGCGTTCCCGCTGCTGAACTCGCCTGGCGTGCTGCACGAGAAGCTGGGATGCTTTTCTAGTCCAGTTTGGGGTTCTTCCCTCTATAAATACCTGCTATTGATTTGGGCAGTCTTTAATTAGACCAGCAGGGAGCTGCAGGGGGAGGAGATGCTAATAGAGATTAGTTTGGGATGAGCCAGGCAGCTGTGCAATCCCCAGGTCTTAATCTCCTGGTGTGGATTTAACCCAGCTGCACTACCTGTGCCCCCTGACCTGGGCTAGAAACCGCTGTCAAGTGTGCCTGGCCTGGCCGAGTGGGGTGCAAAGGGGTAACAGGAGGGGTTACCCGACGTGAGTCACCCCGAGATCTTCCCCAGGAAGGCAAGGAGAGCACAGGGCTGGATGGGGTTCGAGGTGGTGCGGGGAGAGCAGCGGGTTGCTGCCTGCCAGAGCTTTCTCGAGTCCATGATCAGTGGCTGGGCTCGTAGAGGAAATCTTCAGCCTTTGGCTGACTTGCAGAGTTTTCTCTTTCCAAGAACGGATGGAGTAAGTGGGTGCAGCTCCGCTCCCCGCTGAGGCATAAAGGAGCCCACGTAGGTCTGAGCGAAGCATTGGTGGTGCTGGTCCTGTCAGAATGAAGGCGCCGAGCCGCTCAGAAGGGGGCTGGCCGAGGATTGCTGGTGCTGCTGTGCTCCTCCTGCTTGGGAGGAACTGCTCTGAAGCCACCAGGGCTTCTGAGGAGCCGGGGTCACCCTCTGTGCATCCCAGCTGAGGGAAATCTAGGCTGACCCTCATAATAATCTCTTGGCTGTCTCTCGTGCAGCTGGGCTTGCTCTAATCACAAGCACAGCGGGGGAACTGCTGTTTTGACACAAAGCCCCATTCCTACAGCAACATCTGAGCTGCACAGAGGCCCAGCTGCACGCATTCCTGTAGGGGAGAAACCTCCCCACAGCTGACCTTCCTGAGGAAGAGCCTGCTCTCACACGTTCCCTGAGGGCACAGAGCTGCACAGGGGCTTCTGTGCTATACTGGGGTTTGCTGGAGTAGCAACGCAGGCAGCCCTTGCAGGTGACAAGTTTATTTTGCACGGAATAAACTTAAAATATTACACAGAATGAAGACAATATATACATCGCTTTGCAGGCACCCTCCTGTACCCAGGGGCTGTTCTCCACCCTCAGAGGGGAAGCTTCAGCAGACCTGCATCATCATGGAGTTCACCATGTTATCAAAAGCCCTAGAGAAGGAAATGAAGGTGGAATATGAAAGGAAGCAGCTGGTTCTGCCCAGCAGATCCTCTGGGACAAACCCAACAGCTAACAATGCCTCTGACCCGCTAACACCCTGGCTCTCCCTAAGTTGGGGGCTCATTTTACTCTCTCTAGCCTGCTCCAGGGAGTAAGTAATGCCTTTGAGCTGAAGTCAGGACAGGTCTCGTCCTGGCTCAGCAAAGTGTAAAAGCTGCTGTTCTGGCCTAGGCAATAGAAGCTCCTGACACCATTCAAATTCCCTGAGATTACAGGGGAGAAATGGAGGAGAGCTGGCCTGCACGGGTGAGGAATGGCACATGCTGGAGGCCCACCTCTCCTTAGCCAAGGATAAGCCCTGGACAAGTCCATGCTTTACCCTGCTCTACTTACCTACGTCTATTTTTGTATTTACCTATGAAACAGGTAATTTTCCTCCCCAGTAAATTAATTTTCTTGGGATAACGTTTCTAACACCCATTCTGAGGCGGGAGTGAGAGTTTGACGTGACTTCTCATGAGCCTCCCAGTTCTCCGTTAGGCAGGAAGGGCCCAAAGACAACACAGCTGTTCTCCATTTGGGCAGCGGGAGCATGCACCTCTGAACTGGTCAACTGCAGGGGTTATGCTCCGGGGCCTGTTCCATCACAGCTACGCTGCCAGTTCCAGAAAGATGACAAAGATCAGCGCAGTCAGCCCGCTTACCTGGAATGGATACGGTCCCCAGGGTTATAAAAAGGGTTACACATGATGTCCGTGTATGAATTATGCAGCTTTCGGAACATCTGAAAAGGGATTGTAGCTTCATTAATTTTTTTTTTTACTTCTCAGCGCTTTATGAATAAGGGGAAGTAGCAAAAACACTGATGGGGCAAGTTGTGCTCTGATTTCCTGCACTTACGCTGCGGATCTCATTGTCCCGAAGTGCTGTGTTGGAAGAATCCACCACCATCACAAACTTCACCTTCGAGTTTGTCACGTAGCCGTAGCTGCGCAGCTGTTAAGGCTTCTGCCACGCCAGAGCCTGGCCGAGCGGCTCAACCAAGCCTGGAACACGCTCCAAGAAAGGAGCTGAGAGGAAATGTGATGTTCTTGCTGTGCCCAGCCCCAAACCAGGACTAGATGAGGTCAGCAAGACACTCGACTGCAGGAGCCGTATCCCCTTTCTCCCTGACTTCTGCCACCTTTGGGACTCCAGGTCAAGCTTGTTCCTGTGCTGGCCTTGCCATTTCAGAAGCAGCCTCCTACTAGCTGTTGTGGTGAGGACTTCTCTCTTCTTAAGAACCATTTTAATGATACACCCACCTTATTTATTCTTACTTGGGAGATTCTTATTTGGGAGACGACAATCAGAGACCTGGAGATCTAGTATCAGCCAGGGTGACTGACCTGAGACTTCAAAAATGAACAACCAGTTTCTGAAAACCCAGAAATCGGGTGTGCTGAGAACTTCCATCTGTGGGATTCAGAGGAAAAAAAAAAAAAGCCAAAGGAAGGTCAAAAGATCAACTTGGTGACCTAAAAACGTGGGGGAAGCTCTGGCTGTGGAGTACAGATTTTAGAGACATCAGACTGGGATTTAGGTACTTGACCAGAGACACCTTCATACTCCTGCTACTGGTGTTATTAAGGGTTTAAGCTTTGTTCTGGTCACAGTCAACTGTTTTAGCTAAGCAGGGACTAAAGCACCCAGTCTATGAATGTCTCGCTGCACCAGAGACTCTTCACGTGTTGCACTCCCTCATGGAGGCTAAAGGTACGTTTTTCCACCACCTGGCTGGGCAACAAAGCAGCTGCTGAACTGCCCAAGGCACCAAACTCAAACCTCTACGTGACAAAGTGGTCGGGAAACCAGCCTGTATATTTTCTGCTGATGTCTTTAACACAGCACCAAGTAGGAAGAGAGGTTTCCCACACGGAGCCCCTCGCAAGAAAGACCCTGCAAACACCTAAGGGCACGGCAAAAGGCATCAGAAAGATACACCTTGTAGTCTTCAGTGGGGTAGAGGAGCCCTAGGTACAGTTCCCTCTGATCCACCAGAGCCTTGCCCATCGCAGAGATCTTCTCATCCACGACGTCGAGGGAAGTGTGCACGGTGTAGTGGAACTTGAGCTCGTTTTCGGTCGGAACGCTCCGGATGTAGAGGGGATAGTTCTGAGGAGGAGAAGAAATGACACTATTAAGGTTGCACTGTGGGGACTGACAGAGCCTGCCTGTACCGTTATCCTCGTGCAACAGGAATAGTTTTAGTTGTGATAATTTTAACAGAAGCTCGAACTTAACAAGGGGCTGATTCCTCCCAGTTCCAACTGCGGTCAGCAGGAGCAGAGATGGAGGTACACGGAACCAGAGCATTCAGTATAGAAAGAGTCTTCAATCAGCGAGGAGCATATGTAACAAAAAAAATGTCTTATGTTCGCTGAGCTTTGTTGAAATATATCCTGAAATGAGATAACAGCTTTGGCTGAATGAAGATCTTTCTGCTGAGGTACTTCAGGGGCCTTCAGAAGATATCCACTCTGATAGATTAAATAATTAATGCCCATGAAAATACAGGAAAACTGTGTTTATAACAGTCTCAGCTCTATTTCATGACATCCGCTAAAGAAAAAAGCTATGGCTTCTCTTAGATCTTATCATGTCCAATGAACCTATTTTAACCATTTTATGTTCACAGCATCAGCCACCCCCTTTACACCCCGCAGCGCTTGGGGAGCAGGTCTGTCTCCAGACACCGCTGGCAGAAGAATCATTTGCACGTGCACTGCACGAGGCTCGGGTCTTTCCACTGCTTGACTTGTCCCCTTGCCCCAGCAGAGCCTCCCTCCAGCTCTGTCCGAGGAAAACACCTCCCCTCGCCTGGCAGCAGGTCAGCAGGACACCGCGGGGCACCCTAGCCCTGTCCCTGCGCTGGCTGCCCCAGCTCCCCCTGCCCTGGTCCCAGCCAGCTTCAGCTTCCAGTGTCTGCCCCACTCT